GGGATCTGAACTGGAGAACCCCAGGCCGCCAAGAAGTGGAACGTGTGCACTTAATTGCTGTGCCACTGGGCCAGCCCTGGAAGGCTATTCCTTTTAAAGAGCTTTTCTGAATGTCTTACTAAATAGTTCCCATTTAAACCTCACTGGATGTGTTAACGAACTTGATTATGGTAATCATTTTGACAATGTGTATATATACATATATATCAAATTATCCCAAGTACACTTTAAATATATACATTTTGTCAATTATACCTCAATAAAGTTGGAAAAAATAAATCTCACTGGCCTCTTTATTAGCAAAGAAACTTAGAAAAATGGGTTGTTAATGTTGATGCTGTTGTTTTTACTGTTTTTGCTTTTTCTTTACCCTGAGCTCATTCACAGTAAAGAAAAAGAAGAGAGTGGAAATTAAGCAGTCAACTCTGCCACACCATAGATTGCTTGATTCTTTAGGAGGTAATCTTTCAGTTTACCTCTTCTTCAAAACACAGGCAAGAATGAAGAGGTATACCCTGCCCCTACCTTTGATGCCTACGCTGAGGCTGCCATGCAAGAAAGGCCCACCCTGTGAGGTTCAAGACAAAAGAGCCTCAACCTGAAGCCAGGTCTTTAAGGCATCATGTTCCTCAGCGTTTTATATCTCACCTCTTATCTCTCTATCCTTCCTCCCATTCCTTGCACAAAATAAGACACAGGGTTCAAGCTACTTTTCTTCTTCTGATAACCACAAAAGTTTAGATCCCTATTAATTAAAGTACTTTTCTGCCTCTCTTTCTCCAGGCTTAAATTCTATTCTTTCTAGTTACTACAGCCAGATCAGTTTTCTAAAGTATCATTTTAAGTGGCCTTCCTTTCAAAAAGCCCTCATTAACTTTCTAAGTCCTTTTAAAAATAGACAAGCAATAAGCTTTATTCTGGCGTATAAGGTGCTCCACAATCTAGTCTGTCTGGTCTTGCCAATGTGATCCTCTACAAGTGGTTACTTCATCCCCACTCTGTGTCTCTCCTCATGCAGTTCCCCTTCCTTTCCTTGCCAAACCCTCTCGAGGCTAGTTCAAGTTCCCCTTGCTAAAGAAAGAATGATGTCAGGGAGCCTCCCTCAGGCATGTTTTCCATGATGAAGCGAGGCCTGCTGTCCCTGGACACTTGTCTATAGCACCTATTGACACATCCTGGTTTCCAGCCATCTTTCTCAGGTTTGCATTCATTGTTTGCATTGTTTACATCTTACACAATATTTATGCCCACTCTCTGAAGAAGCTCTAGTCAGCTTTTTGAACACATAGTGGGCTCTCAAACGTATCTGTTGGTTGAAACTAATTTGTTTTTTTTCCTCCTATATATTTCTTTCATCATCAAAAGTTCCTCTTCTCATTATGCCTGCCTCTCAATTTCTAACCAAAATTGTATCTGGGCCCAAACTCCCAATCTGATGTTCTACAGAGCCAGAATGCATCTCCCACAGAGGTCAAGGCATTCCACAATTGGCTGACTATTAGCACAAGGCCTGGGATGGAACTGAATTATCAGCTCCTTTTTAACTGGATGATTTCCACTGGGTTTTATTTTCTGTTTGCTTGTTAATAGAAACACCCATAGGCAGTGGCCCCAGATCAAAAGTATAGGCCTAATAGAATCTAAAAGTTCATGTTTAATTTTAAAATCAGACTCCCTTTAGATTCCCAGCATTGCCAAAATTCATCTGAAAAGCAGAAAATGTCATTTTCCTTCCACCTTCAAAAGGAGCTGAACAAAATTTAAATACATCTGGTTATAACAAACAAGCTAGAAAGTGCACCACAAATGGGACAAGCTTGTGCCCAGATCCAATTTTATGAGTGAGTTAGAAAGCCCTTGAAAATGGGGCTCGTGGTGCAATCCCTGCTGGGGCATTAACTGGAGACTCTGGCAAGAAAGAATGAACTAATAAGTATGAGTGGCATTTTCCCAAAGCAGGTTAAATACCCCAATAGAAACCCAGAAGAAATTACACTTAAAGGTTCTCCTAGGCAGCTTGAGTTGATTTGACACCTCTTCTTTGCACGTGAATTCCCTGCATGACAAATCACCTGATACAATTTGTGGGATGAATTAAATACTTTTATGAGTGTTAATGCCAAAGCTTTTAGAGCTAAATCAATGTGACAATAATAATAGAGTCATGTTTATTTTCTTGTTTCTTTGAATTTTCCTGTTTAAAATGTAAGTTAAGATTATCTGAAGGGAAGTTCCTCATTGGCCATTACCATCCTTATGACTACAACTTGGTAATAGCTAATGAGACAACGATCTCTGCCATTTTCAGGTGAGTGCTTGAGCAAGGCTCATGTACACTGTTGGGGTGGATTCTTGGCCCTGGGGCAATGAGAAGGGTTGAGTTTACCTTTTTGCTGTTTCAGAACATTCACTTTTGCTTGATCCCTATTTCAGAGTACACCAGACAGGCTGAGAGGATAAGTAAGGTTTTTCACAGAAAGGATATTCACTTATTTGGTCACAAGTAATTTCTACCATATTCATATTGATCAGGAAAACTTGTTAAAGGTAGACTGTGAACTTGAAACTCTACTCATCTAAGGTTGAGATTTGGCATAAGACAGCGGTTAAGAGATGAATTTGGGAGCCAGTTTGTCTGTGTTAAATTCTAAGCTCTACTATTTGCTAGCTACACAACCTTGGGCAAGTTATTTAAACTCTTTGCATCTCAGTTTCCTTAGCTATAAAGTGGACTTAGAATAATACCTGGATCATATTATTTTTCCTTCCTATTTCCCAATAAAAACATTCTACGGCAGATCAGTGAGGTCTACTCTCAGACCTCCCGAGAGTCCACATTTGGAATATCCTTATTTTAGACTATAAGCCTCCGTTTATGCTGTTTTTCTTATTAGGAATGTCTTCCTCTTGCCTCCCCCATCTCTTATTTAAAGTTGTTATGTTTTAGGATTAAGTCTGTTAATTGGCTTTTTCCCTTGCACTTTCCACTACATCTTGGCTTCTTTTTCGCGTGTCTCCTTACTATCTGTGATCTCTTGAACTTTCAGCCACATATCATATGTTATGCTCATGCACTGTGGTAAATATTTATCCAATAATATTGTTAGAGCAAGGTATATGATTTTTTATTTTATGCTACACTTTCGTCAGTACCTAGTAATATTTGTCTGAGCTTTAACCAAATCTTATGAACAGGTTTTCCATGGTCATTCAAACGTACTCAGGATGCAGTAATGTTGCCTGAGACCAAAGATACTATTTGGCAAAAACATCAGAAGGCTTATCTTTATGTGGTAATGAATATAAGAAATGGTCTGAAGGCAAGTTTCTAAGGGATTATTTATTCAAATTTTGTTCTATCTCATAGAAAAAGCTAATGTATCTACTGTGGACTATTCTGTGTGGGTTCTACAGTATTTGAGCTTTTCTATCCCTGCCACCAACAATTTGGCAGGCATAGTTGGCAGAATGGTTCCCTTAGCTTCATTTCCATGACTAGCTGGAGGTTTTTGACATGAATCAATCTCATCAGTCCACTTATGAGGCCTATCCATATTTCAGTTCTTCACCCTTTGTTGGATGGAATTCCCTCAGGTGGTCTTGCACTGATCCATTTCTTCCATGACAATCCCATACTTGGAAGCTTTGCTCTACCCTGTGCTCTTTGACTGGACATTTTGTATTTTGATGCTTATTCATTGCACTTGATCAATGTTCATTGGTTTCTTACTGAGGATGATTCTTTTGCCCTTGATAATTACTCCATTTTCCTGAAACTCTTTCACTCCTTCAACTCAGTCCCCATTGTTGTGTGGCCATCTCCACATGGCTAAGAGTTCTGTCCCTCTCCTTTGGCTAACATTATTTAGCACAGTTCCATGAATACCTTGAACACTCATTATGTCCTTGGTGAGAAAATAAATGGAAGAAATTATCAGTTGCTGGGCATTCCATTAACAGAAACCATTTATTACATGGCACTTTGCACTCCTCCAGAAAATTATATTTAAAGTTCTTAGTGATATTTTGCCATTGAAATAGCAATATGTGATTTGGAATCTATAAAGAGAAGCAATTATTTTCAGAATAATTTTTATTATAGTCACTGTATACTAATTCTCAGTAAATTATTCCATGTATGTATTGTATGACAAACAACTTAATCTATATTTGTAGCTTACCTTAGATATTTTGAATCTCAAAAGTCTTTATATTACATCAAAAACACATTTATAAAATAAGGTAAGTATAGATCATGAGGAGGAAAAGTTAAATTATGGAATTCATTGAAATTGCAAAAGATACCATCCTCAAATTTTACACTGTATATTCCTTTATCATAGGCCTATATTAATATGCCCTTAATGTTTCCACATAGCGTCCAATTCAAGAGAACAAATCTTAAAAGGAAATAACAAGCATGGTTAAATTAATGAATACCATGATGCACATAGCTTATTAGTGGCTCCATTAGCGTGTTTACGTGACCTTGGTTGAATCATGTTTCCTCTGTACCTTTCAGTGTCCTAATTATCTTCTTTCTTCACATTGCCTCACATTCCCTCTTCATTTCTGTTTCCTCCTCTTCTCTCCTTTCATTTTTTAAATGAAAGATGCGTCCATAGCATTTATGTAAAGAGGAGAGCTTTGAAGTTCAACACAACAGTTATTTCATATAAACAAAAATGTAAGCAACTATAAGGACATGAGTAGCAAATAGAGTGATAAGAAAACATAAGTAAATTGGCCTAAATAGTATGATTTTGGGAATAATAACAAAGAGAAAATTTTATCCTGACTATAGAAAGAGCTCATTCCTTTGTGAGAATTTAAAATAGGCGAAGTGAAGGGAAGAATGTCTGCATGTATTCAAGTCGAGAAACAATGGGAGGTAAGATTTTGGAGTAAAGTTCCCTATTTAGAAGTTAATTGGCAGTGAGTCATCCTGCACAGTCACAATGAGCCTTTGTACTTACCAAGTGGCTTTTGTACAAAGATCTCACAAGGCAAAGAGATGCAAAGAACGCCCATTCTTATTTTAGATGGACGACAACTAAATCAGAAAGAAGAGGACAGAATAGAGGTAGGTTTTGAATACTTCATTATTATCTCTCAGTAACTTTTTTCTACATTAAAAAGATAAAGTGTATTTTACATAAAATTAAATGAACAGATTTGAAGTGCACAATTCAATGAGTTTTGAAAAATGATCGCATCCGTATCATCCTGACCCCAATCAAGAGACAGATTTTTTCAAGCCTAGAATGTTCTCTTGACTGGAAAGTCAATTTATTCTCCTCTTCCCAAGAGGCAACCACTACTCAGATTCCTCTTTCAATCACAGATTAGTGTAGTCTATTCTACAATTTTATATAAATAAAGTCATATACTATGTACATTCATGTTTCTGGCTTTTTCGTTTATCATAATATTTTTTAATAATCTTTTTTTTTTACAACAGTGTCAGGTTTAAAGAAACATTGTTTAAGACAATATAGAGATTTCCCATATACCTCAAACTCACTTTCCTCTGTTATTAACTTTTCATATTACTATGGTGGATTTGTTATAATTAGAGAACCAACATTGATACGTTGTTATTAAGTAAAGTCCATTCTTTATTCAGATTTCCTTAGTTTTTACCTAATGTCCTTTTGCTGTTCTAGGATCCTATCCATTAAATTTAGTCATCATGTCTTCTTAGGCTTCTTGGTTATGACAGTTTCTCAGGACTTTCCTGTTTTTGATGACTTTGACATTTTTGAGGATTAGTGGTAAGATATTTTGTAGAATGTTTCTCAACTGGAGTTTGTCTGATATTTTTCTCATAATTAGACTAGAGGTATGAGTTTTGAGGAGGAATGCCACAGAGGTAAAGTACCATTTTCAGGATATCCTATCCGGGGAACTATCAGTTGACTTATCGTTGTTGATAGCCTGTCTCAAGTGATGTTTGCTAGGTTTCTCTGCCATAAATTTACCCTTTCTCCCTCTTCAGCATAACAATTTGAAGTTCCTTCATTTTGTTGCATGTACCAGTAGTTTGTTCCTTTGTATTACAGAGTAATATTCCATTATGTGATTATACTGTAATTTAGTTAGTCATTCTATAGTCAATGAATATTTGTGTTTTCCAGTTGGGAGTGGTTATAAACAAGGATGCTATGAACATTCTTGTACACATCTTTTTGTACATGTATTTTTATTTCTCTTAGGTAAATGACTAAAAGTGAAATGGTTGGATCATAAACTTAATGTGTATCTAACTTCATAGGAAAACACCTGACCAATTCACAAAATGGTTGTACCATTTTACACTCTCATGAGCCAAATATGAAAATTTCAATCGGTTCATGTCTTCACTAACTCTTAGTATTGTGAGTCATTTAAATTTTAGCCATTGTAGTGGATACATTATGGTATCTAGTTGTGGTTTAATTTTTATTTCTTTTATGGCTAATGTCATTGAGAATATTTTTATGTAATTTTTGGATGTTTACAGTTCTTCCATTTTAACTGCTTAATTACCATGACACTGCTTTTTCTCCTCTGCATTGGATTTCGTTGACATTCATGTCACATCACTTGATTGCCTAAGAATAGATCAATTTTTGTACTCTTCATTTTATTCCATTGATTTATTTGAGTATCAAGCCAATACCACACTGTCTTGATTACCATTACTTTCCAATAAGTCCTTGAATCAGGTAACAGAAATTTATCATATTTGTTTTTTTTAAGATTGTTTTCATTCCTGTCATTTCTTCACACTTCCATCTATGTTTTAGGATCTACTTGCTAATTTCTACAAAAAGTGTGCTGAGACTTTGATTGGAATTTCATTGAATCTATTGATGAATTTGGTTAGAATCAGTATTATAGAAAAATTGAGTTTTCAAAACAGTAACAGGATATACCTATACATTTGCTTAAGTATTATTTAATTTCATTTCTTTCAAGAATGATTTATAGTTTTTATTATAAAGGTTGTACACATATTTTGTTTACATAAGTCCTAAGTTTTTCAAGTTTTCATAGATTTTTTAAAAATTATTTTCCTTTTTTTGCTGCTAATATGTAGAAATACAATTGGTTTTTGTATATTCCTATTTCTTCCTGAAACATTGTTAGATTGGTAGAATATGTATGATTTTTAAACTAAACAATCATCATCTCTGTTGATAGCTTTACTTCTTATAAACCCCTCTCTCTTATTTTACTGATTAGGACCTCTATTGTCATGCTAAATAGAGGTATGAAAGGGATATCTTTGCCTTTTTCCAAATATTAGGGGAAATGTATACATGTTTTCACCATTAAGTATTATGCTAGGTGTAAGTTATTTGCAAATGTTCTTGATCAGATTCTTGAATTTTCTTCTATTCCTAGCTGGATGAGAATTTTCATCATGAATGTGTTAAATTTTGACAAATAATTTTCTACCTATATTGAGATGATCAAATAAATTTTCTAATTTATTTTGTTAATGTATTTGATTACATTGATTGATTTTCAAGTATTAAATCAACTTTAAATTCTTTTGAGAAATTTTACCTGATCATGAGTTACTCTCTTCATATGTTATTTCATTCTATTTTCTAATATTTAAGAAAATATAAGCTTATATGCCATTTTTGGTATGTATTTTTCTTGTAGTGGTTTTGTCTGATTATGGTTTCAAGGTTGTGCTGGTCTCAAAAAAAAATTAGCATGAAAAATTTCCTCTTCCTCTTTTTTTCTGAAAGTCTGGGTGTAAAATCATAAAAAAATTTCCATGAAGAAAAACCAGGACCACAATGGCTTGTCTGTTGAAATTTAGCATGTATCTAAAAAGGAAATAGTATGATTTTTACACTCAGACTTTCAGAAAAAAAGAGGAAGAAGAAATTTTTCCTACTAATTTGGAGATACAAGTTTTATTCTAAGCACTCTTTTAACTGCATCACACAAACTTTGGTATTTTATCTTCATTCATTTTAATATTATTATTATTTCAAAATGTTTTTTAATTTCTTTTTTAACTTAGACTTTTCAAAATTTTCAAACATTAGGGATTCTCTAAGCACTTTTTTAGTCATTTCTAATATATTTGTATTTGGGTCAGAACACAATTTGTATATTTTAAAGTTTTGATAATTGTTCTTTTGGCCAAGAACATGGTATATCTTGAAGAAAAATCCATATATGATGTGTCTTAAACAATCCAGGCAATAAGTCAAACTTTTATGAAATCTGAATTCTATTAAGAGCCATATAAACAAGTCAGCCATCTCATATTATTGTCATGTGCTATCCTTCTTGTATTTTAAGAAGATTATCTTACTTTGAGTCAAGAACTTTAGTGCAAGTAGTTTATTTAGGAGATGATCCAGAGAGTAGGAGTCAGGGATCAGGGGCTATTAATCAAGGAAAGTGGGAAAGCCAATCTAAGTGTGTGCCTTTGAGATGATTACTGTGGACCACAGAGGTTGGGACCACCTGTACAACATATAGAATGTTGCCCAAACTTTCACTTCCTGAAGGCTGGAGGTGAAAACTTTTGCGTACTTACTGGTTGAGGACTACCCTGGGAGAAATATCCTTGCATTTCCGAGCTGTACTAGTGCACAGAACAAGCAGGTTCCCATTTCACAGGGCAAACCTTGAGGCAGAGAGCTCCCTTGGGTCTAAATATTTATAGCAGGATGTGAATTTAAGCTGACACAGCTACAACTGAATTCAGAGGGGCAGTAGCATATCTAATTCCAGGTCACCATAAAATTTTGATTCAACAGCTTGGGAAAAATCAATTGTTAAAAATACATAAAGACAAATGATTAAGAAAACCAGTATTAGATTATCCTCAACCAATAAAATTAGAAAGGTTATACAAGAACCTGCGACTAGAATAAGAAAGAAAACCATGGGGGGAGAGATCTTGCTAGTAAGTAGAAGACATTGCACCTCCGGCTGTGAGGAAATTCACCCTGCACCAGGACTAGTTGAACTCAGTAAATTCAAACTTTGGAAAACGCAATAGGAAGCTTAGGAGGTGAGAGTCTGGAATGGGATCAGCGTGAACAGTTAAAAAAAAAAAGATAAGCAAGAAAAAGCAAAACATGCAATGGTGAGGAAACTGAAGAATTCACGTGCAAACAGTCAAGACCTTCATCATAGGAGTTTTGACATCTCAAAGAGAAAAGGAAATAGTTAGGAAATGTAATGAAAAGACACTAGGAGAGAGAAAGGAGACTAAAAACAAGAGAGAACTAAGGTAGCCCATTCCAGAGCAAAGCTAAATAGAAGTGTGTTGTTACGTATGTTGTTATTCAAATTAGGGATTGTTGCCAAATGTATGCCAGAGTATACTATATAGGTTTCAATGAATCACTGATTTCCTCATATAGATTTGAGATGTGAGAAAGCATTTAGATATATCACAACATTTTTCTTTGTGTATTGAGCACAAAAGTATTCTATAAGTCTCTCACATACTTAATAAGATCTTTATGAATGCTAGGATATTTAGAATATACAATATGTTGACCATATGTCATTAACAACCAATGGCATATATACATATACACATAATATATACAGCTATGTACTTTGTGTTATACTGAATTTAAATGCTGTTTAGTTTAGAGACCAAAAAGCTAAAATAGTTTAAATTCTCTTTGGAACTAGACATTTCCTAAAATACATACAAATAATTTAATTATTAAATTTTAAAAGATAATGTTCACCATTACACCCAGCTACTAAGTAATGTTTTATATTGATGATGAAACAAGTAAATTGTAAATAGATGTGGTTTTACTTTTTGTGTATGACTGGAATATGTAAATTAAACATTCTACAATGGAAGTGGTCCTAAATTCTTGTTAAATCGCCGTTAATATTGATTCTGTGAACCAGTTCTCTGACTACAGTTGGATATTAACTGAAGATTGAATATGAATCCTTGCACTGACACCATGAACACACACACTCCATTTGCATATGGTTTGAATCATAGCCACTTGTCCATACACATTACAACTTTATGTAGTCTGATTATATTCTCAGGTAAATATTTTAACCAGAAAACATTCATATAATAAA